AAATAAACCTGACCGAACTTTAGGAACGAGGAAGTGACCAACGCAACACAAACCTTTTTCAGCTCTGTCTGGTCAAATAAACAGCACTTGTTACAAAACAAGTTCACCAAGTGACTTTAAGCATCGTACAAAGTGAAACAGAGGCTGGACAGCTCTGTGGGCACAGAGAGATCAACTGTCCGCGCTCTGTGTGTGTCAGCTTCACTCAGCTGATCAGGAGGAGAGGGGCGGGCTCTCTGTATGTGACTGGCCAATCACAGCTCGTGAAGACAGTCAGTTACCCAATGAGGATCTTCCTTCAGAATGAGCACGGATATTGACAAGCATTATTCTGTTCAAGCTCGTACTCGTCAAAAATGCATTATCCGTAACGAATACTCGTCTGAAATGAGTTTCTGGCTCAACCCTACTTGCAAGGGAGGCCTGGATTTAAAGGGCAGCCTGACAGGCAGTTTCTGGGCTCTGGGGGGAAACCATAGTGCCACACAAACATGAGGACAACAGGCAAACTCCACACAAAAACAGTCCAGGTCCAAATCAGAGATTGAACCTTCTATAAAAAAATGATGACTCATATTAAAAAGTCTGACATAAAAAGTGAAGTCTGATGCATCTGACCCTTCATGTTAAAAGGACCATTCCTGGAAAGAACTGTCCAAAAAATAAAATAATAAATAAAATAAATTGCTGCAAACACGCATTTTTTTCTCTTTTTAGTTTTGCTCTTTTATGAAGAGGACCAAAACACATTTTGAGAATGATGACGCCATATCCTGATCACTAATTAAATCTAAGATTTGAGGACATTCTCTTCTGTTGTATTGACATTTTTTACACCAGTGTACCCTTGCTGTGCATGTACCGTGCCTTGTTTTTTGTTTGTAGTGTAATGTCGCAGCAGCAGCACAGCACCTCTTACTACCCTAACATAGTTACTGCAGCGTTTTGGATCGTGTTCTTTGTTTCAGTATGAATGAAGAAATTTTTTGAACTGTGCCATTTTTTTTGCATACTTTTAGAAACAATGGGCTGTGTCCAAATCCAGAGGCTGGGTCCTCCGAAGGCAGGTGGTCCAAATTCGAAGACTCCTCTGATGCAACTGACAAATGCACCCTTCCTTTGCCCTGATTTGAAAGACTGGTCTGATGGATCCTTCTCGGCCCACCGTATCCCATAAAGCATTGCATGCCAACCGGAGATTTTTTTTCTGCTAGTAATGGCAGACGAAGCGAGAGAAAGGAATACATTTTAAATAAAAATTTAAGTGCTGATTAAAATAACAATTTAAAATTTCATGCAGCTTTGTTGTTAATACTTTTATCATTTGTATAGACATGTTTTTAAATATTATTTTTGTCAGATATAAAACAAGCTGGTATAGCAAAATAAACATGCACCTATGGCAGGTCCCTTAGGTTCTTCAAATATTGCCTTTAAAGAAATGTTGTTGTTTTGTGATATTAATAACACCAATATATTGATACTTTTCTAGTTTCGATCTAATTTTGCTTCTGTTTAGCATAGTCACAGTTGCTAGGGGACAGGACGTACGACGTGGTAAGGACGGGAGGCTAGAACGTCCAAATTCACAGCCACTTTTTTCCAGTCTTCACGGTCTACCAAGGACCTGGCCCACCTAGACTGGGTAGGACCCAGCCTCTGAATGTGGACACAGCCAACATATAAAAATTGTATTGAAAAGATAACGATTCTGTTGACTAATCCTTCATCTGGTCATTTCTTGCCATCTTTGTTTTATTTCAGTTTCTATGTACTTTAAATTTGTTGTCATCAAAGTAAAAAAGAAATATATGTAAAAGTGCTTTGTTCAAAATTACAGACAATTTAAATACAAAACACAATTTATATACTAACATTTAATGTCAACRTATTTCCAGTTTATCAGGGACAAGTTTTGTAAATGTTAGAGAGAAGTTTTATTTCTTTACCTGCTGTTGTCTTTATTATGTCTGTCGTGTTTCTCAGGCCCATGAAATCAAACTGATACAGACGCCAGGACTTTTGGTCAGCCGCCTCTACAGAGTTCCTCCTCCACTTATAAATCATCTCATCTTGTGGATATCCATCTGGAATTACACAGAGTACGTGTGGTTGTGACCCTCAGCAGTGCATGACACATTCTAATGATGGATGACCTCCTCAAACAGACCTAGGGCCACACAGAGCCACATTTGTCTTGTGCTGGAGGCTGACTAATGAAAAGACAGTCAGAAATGAAGACAGAAGAAGAAGAAAAGTAGATTAAATGCTAGCTTTGGTTCAATAATGTTGTGAATCAGTCTTGATGTGGGGCCTAACCTTCACACAATACGAACAGAGCCTTGGAGTGTTTTTTTTATTGATCATGTGAGGTTAGTGATGGGTTAATGATTCCACCTCTTCTCCAGTAGTGAGACGGTCAAACTCTGTTCCTGTTTTTAACAGACTCATCATCACCTATAGCAGAAAAGCTATCATCTTGCTTGATAGCAATTTAATGTAAAAGGAGATTTTAATACCTAAAACATGAAAAACTGGAGAAAATGTTGCTCAACTACATCAAATTTGCTAAACACATTTTAATTRCATTTGTAATTAATAATGTCATTAAAACATAATCAAACAAAAGTTCCATTTAAAATATTCTAGAAACAGCAGCTTAATACTGGAATCTTATTTTTAAATATTTTTTTCTGTTTTAACTGATCTGAATTCAACATGACTCATGATGCAGGAAATGAAAGAATGTTTCTGAGACTTCATATTCAGCAGCAAGTAAAATCGGTAATTAATACAATTTTATATTTACTTTTATAAAGTAAATGTAAAAAGTAATGGCATATTTAGCTTTGCAGAACAAGACAATATAATACACACACACACACACACACACACACACA